TATATATATAATAATAATTTATGTTAATAAATCTCTTGCAATATTAAATTTGAAAGTTTCGAGTTGTAAAATAAAAATTTGCAAAATATTTTTACAAGGTGGAGCAGTAAGTTTGTTTGATTTTTTTTTTCCTAATTGGAATATTTTGTTAATTATTGTTAATTAATTTATTTCTTAGTTAAAATATATTGGAGCAAAGATTTTATTATATACGAAATATTAGAATATTTTATATATTAATCGTTTGTATTTAATTTTTTAATTATTTTCTTTTTTATTTGTTGAACGCGAGATAAGTTACGTAAGTAAATTAACCCATAACTAAACAGCATGGTGTTTTGGTGTTTATAAGATAAGATTCATGGACAAAAATATTTTCAAAATCCCAAAACCAATAATTTGTCATGAAACCGATCAAATTTTTAAAACACTAAACAAAATAACAAATTTCTAACTTCTGTGAGACCTCACTTATAAATTAATTATTAACAATTTTTAAAAATACGAATGGATAATCGAAATTTTGCATATTAGTGAATGAAATATTTGCATTGAATTCTCTCGTTGAGTAAAAGTGAAGGAAGAAAAAAAAATCAAATAAAAATGCAGATATTAAAATTACGAGAGTGACGTCTACGTGACAAGATTCACGTAGTTGGTGGTTATAACGGGTGAACCAAACTTAATTTCATTACTTTTACACTTTTCTTTCCTTTTTTATTCTTCTTTTTTTTTTGTTCTAACTTTTGAAACCATCTTCCAGACAACGCGGTTTTATCAATTGCATCTTACAAAATGGATAAATTGTTACCCTCGTGAAACTAATTCGCTTATCGATCGTCGTGGTGAAACGTGCGCACTTTCTACTTTATTACTTGCGTGCAATATACATATGTTACACATATACGCATACATATGCATATGCATAAATGTATATAGAAATGGTATTGGTCTTTGTGATAATGAAAGTGACCTAAATAAAATAAACAAAAAAAAAAAAATAATAATAATAATAAAATAAAATACTAGAGAAATTTAATCGATCTCATTCATTACTATTTATCATTATTATTAAACATATAGAATTTTTTTGAATATATTATAAATATAATATAAATTGTAATTATATTATCTCATATATTAATATTTT